CCGTTGTGGTGTACTCATGCCCTTCTTGCGCATGTTTTTCGTGTGTAGATCCAGGTTATTTGGCTCAGCCATACCACCAGTGAGGCGAGGCGATCTTCAAAGATTTCGAGGTATATCTGCCGCATCTGCAGACCAAAGAGTCTTTCTCTATTCTCCCCTCTAGCTTTAACTCTCATGTATTTACTTTTGTTTAGACATTCTGGAGTTAGAACACTTGTAGTTATTTAATAGCTTGTGATTTCATGAGATCCTGGGTTTTGGGAGTTGTTTTAGTTTGAGAGTTTGTATTGTATATGTCGAGCGACATCTTAAATGTTTATTTATGTTTTATCCGCAGTTTTTGGCTAGTTTTATCTTTCGTTTCCTGTTTTTGCAAATTGTTAGGCTTACTTAGTCGTAGAGACTAGGTGCCATCACGATAGTTCACGGAGGGCAAACTCGGGTCGTGACAAGTTGGTATCAGAACTCTAGGTTCATAGGAGTCATGAATCACATGCCGGTTTATTAGAGTCTCGCGGATCGGTACAGAGACGTCTATACTTATCTACAAAAGGCTATGTAACTGTTAGGAAGATTCCCCCTCATTTGATTTCCTTGTCGTGCGAGATTTTGATATCACAATTCTAAACTTTTGTCTTCTATTCTCTCACAGATGGTGAGGATACGTGCTGCCAGAGATGACCAGGCACCCGCACCTCCTGCTAGAGCCGTCAGAGGTCGGGGTCGGGGTAGAGGCCGAGGACGCGCCTGTGGTGCAGCCAGAGCACCCGTGCGAGTTGTTGCAGAGAAGCCACCAACAGCTCCAGCCGGAGTCCAGGCACCTAATACGCCTACTGCTACCACTATTCCAGCTCTTTAGGAGACTCTTGCACAGTTCGTGAGCATGTACACCACTCTAGCTCAGGCATGGTTGATTCTCCTTACTGCAGCCACATCCCAAGCTGAGGGAGGAGCACAGACTCCCGCCGCGCGCACTCCTGAGCAGCAAATCTAGGTTGATCAGATCCTCAAGGTTATACCAGTAAAGCCTGTGGCCCCAGTTTAGCCCGAGGACAGGGCAGCGGCTTCAAAGGATGAGCAACGGAGGCTTGAGAGGTTCATGAAGTATAAGCCTCATGTATTCAGTGGTTTAGCATCAGATGATGCCTTGGGATTTCTAGAGGAGTGTCACCATATCCTCCGCACTATGGGTATATCAGGAACGAGTGGGGTTTCTTTCACTGCCTTCCAGCTTTGAGAGGCAGCCTATCAGTGGTGGCACACTTTTGAGTTGGACAGTCCAGCTGAGGCAGCATCCCTTACTTGGACTCAGTTTTCAAACATATTCCTGAGAGAGTTTGTCCCTTAGAGCCTTAGGGACGCATGGCGTGCAGAGTTTAAGCATTTGCGTCAGGGAACTATGACTGTTTCAGAGTATGCTGTCCGTTTCACTAACTTGGCTAGGCATGCACCGACCTTGGTTGCTATAGTTCGTGAGAGAGTTCGCCGGTTTATTGAGGGGCTCATTCCCAGCATTAGGTCTAACATAGCTTGTGAGTTGGAGATGTATATTTCTTATCACCAGGTGGCGAGCATTGCTAGGAGAGTGGAGGGTATGGATGCTCGAGATAGAGAGGAGTGGGAGGCCAAAAGGTTTCGAGAGTCGGGCAATTATTCTGGTGCTCGTTCCCCAGCTACAGTTCGTCATGGTATGAGTTATATGAGTCGCCCCATTCATTCAACTCTTCCAGCAGCCAGTGGTATTCTAGCTCCTCCTAGACCTCAGGAGCCCTATTATGCACCTCCAGTATCTAGTACGCCTCCTGCACGTGGTGCTTTCAGTGGTCAGTCTAGCAGACCTGTCCCGAGCCAGTCACAGCCACCACGTCCTTGTATGCGGCGAAATCAAGAGGCCCCAATTTCTTGCTATTAGTTCATTTCAGAAGAATACCTCGAGGACTCGAGGACGCGAAGATGTAACCGAGTTCCCTCCCTCGAAGCTCGTCGAGGCCCGACCTAAAGTGAATGTCGATCGAGGTTAGAGTAAAAATGGGGAATTCCCAAGGCACGCAGCTAAGTTTGACAAAGCCGGCCTGCCCAGAACTTGTATCAAGGTGTCAAGTCTAGCCGTCCCATCTCCATACCTTTACAATTAATGTATTTTGTACTATGACGGGATTCCCCTCCTATATAAAGGGGATCCTTACCATTTTGTAAAGGGCGGCTGTTGCTCCAACTATTCTACACGAAATAAATAATATCTATCTCTCTCTCTCTCTCTCTTTTCTCTCTAACATATTCTCTCGGTATTATTGCTCATATTTATTGCTTGCATACTTGTTCTTCATTTATTGCTTGGCATTGGCTATAAAGAGCCTCCTTTAATTATATCCTAACTGTTAGCCCCTTCCCAGTTATCCCTGATAACCCGAGCCCGAGCTCAGGCATCGACCTCGAGACCCCTCATTAGCCAGTTCGAGGCCCGAATAGCTAACCCCACGGTTTGATTATAGTTCCATTTTAACTCGCATTTCATATTTTATCTTCACATATCTAACATCAACTGCTTAACAACTAGCATAAAGTTAGATCACGTATTTTTAGAGTCTCATCAACAAATTTAATTGTTATTATCATTTTCACGGTAAACAGTTTGGCGCCCACCGTGGGGCTAACAATAATAGTGATTATTTTCTTGTTGGTTTAGTTACACAATGCAAGTTTCCTTTCACACTTTTTCTTGTCCAAGATCTTCGATTTCAGGTCAAACTGTGTTGGCTCAGTGAACAGAGTTGAGAACAACAACCTTGAAAACCACGGAGAAAATGGTGTGGCTGTTCCAATTATTGGCGCGCCACTACAAAACCCCGATAACGCACCTGGACCGATTCCAGTGGACGTGGGTTCGCAAGACGCACAGTAGATCGACGAAACCTCACACACCGACAGGAGCATACAATATGGTGATCAATAGAAAGCCCAAAAAACCCCATCTCGGGAAGAACGGGAAGTTAGTCTTCATGTTATTTTTGAAATGTTGCAGGCATAACAACTGGCTAACGCTCAGCTGCAAAAGCCACCCGAAGACTCCCAGCACAATAGCACCGGAAGGTACTCCCCCGGCCGAACATGTATCAAAGAGATTGAGCAATAACGGATTGGTAGCCGATGCTGTCACCGTAAAAATGCTCAAGGACCTCACCAAAAGGATCGAGTCGGGCGGGAAAATGATAGCAGCCAACGACAAGAAGGTTATTTTACCTAATATCGTGTATTAGCTTAGAATTTATTTGTAGAATCGGGTACTTGAAGTGTTATTTACATTATGCAATTGAATTGAATAGATTTGGGCCATTTGGAGTCGAGTACTCGTGGCAAGAACGTGATTTCAGGTTGATTTTGAGCCGGTTCGAGGTAAGTGACTTGCCTAACCTTGTGGGGGGAAACTCCCTTTAGAATTTGGTATTATTGATAATTGAAATGTCTTGTACGTGAGGTGACGAGTGTGTACTTATGCTAATTGTTGAAAATCCGGTTTTCATTAAGTAATTACTAGTATGTTTCTTTTTCCTGTTTATACTACTTGCAATTTAAGCCTGTTGTTAACTTAGGAAAGCATGTCTAATTGACTTAATTACCTTACTTGCTCAAACTGCCTTATTTGGATTACGTGCAACATGCTAGGTTAGAAATACCTATTTTACCTTGGTATGGAACTTGAATTGAACTGTGTACTCTTCTTGTTATTGCCGTGTGTTTACTTTGGGACTACGGGACGGTATCTCGGGAGATCCCCCCTATATGTTTACTTTGGGACTACGGAACGGTATTCCGGGAGATCCCCATGCACATTTACATTGGAACTACGAGACTGCACCCGGTAGATCCCCCATGTACTGAGTATTTACATTTGGGACTACGGATCGGTATTCCGGGAGATCCCCTCGCATTATGAGTTAGACTACGGGATGGTATCCCGGGAGATCCACGAGATATTTATATTTGGGACTACAGGACGGTATCCTGGGAGATCCCCGACTGTTATCTTTGTGCTTAGTTGTATCTCTTTCTGTGTACACCCTGCCTCTGTAGTTGTTGTTGTTGTTCTTTATATCCTGTGTTACTTTTACTGTTGTACTTATATTGTTTTTGTCCTACACTGTTGAACCTTATATTTTATTTAACCTCAGTAGGCCCCTAACCTTCCTCGTCACTACCCGACTGAGGTTAGGCTTGGCACTTACTGAGTACTGTTGTTGTGTACTCATGCCCTTTCTGCACATGTTTTTCATATACAAATCCAGGTACTTCCACTCATACTCATCACGCTTGAGACAAGGCGCTTGTAGAGACTCCGAGGTATGTCTGTCGCGTCCGCAAACCGAAGAGTCCCTTTCTACTCTCTCTCTTTTTGTATTAGCCCTTCTGTACTTTTGTTTCTTTGTTAGATATTCTGGAGTTAGATGCTTGTAGACATTCAAAGGCTTGTGATCATGAGATTCCGGGTTTTGGAAAATGTTATTAGTCTCGAGAGTTGTTACTGTGTATGCCGAGCGGCATTTAAACACTGTTTTATTTCACTATTTCAGTTTTAATTATTTCTTCCGCAATTGTTGTTTATATTCCGCATTGTTAGGCTTACCTGGTCGTAGAGACTAGGTGTCATCACGATGGTTCACGGAGGGCGAACCGGAGTCGTGACATTTAAGCTGTCAAATAAACATAAAAGAAATAATTCAAATTCCTAAAAATGATGAAGATTGATAAGTAACTAAACTCAACAAAATGCGAAATATTAGAAAAATATTTAAGTGACAAATTATCTAGTGTGAATTTTATTTGAAAATCTCAATAATACCCAATATCATATTGATAAAGTAATTAAATGAAAGGGAAACAAAAGGAAAAATTAGGAGGAAATTGACGTGGCGTTTCTTCTCTTGGAATAAATAGCGGTTCATGTACCATTATAAATATAACTAGAGAAAACAAAAGTCTTTACTACAATAATTTGCCACCATTTCTTGAACTCTACTATAGAACCGCAAAAGTTTTCATTCATTTTATGGTTACGAAGTTAATGTGATGTTTTATAATAGAAAGCGGAGGAGTAAAAATCAAAACCCATTTCAGAGTTTGACAGAAAATCAGAAGCTTATTATTAAATTAGTGTGCAATAATAGGACGTCATCTATCTATAATCTGAGGACACTTCAAAGGAGAGGTAATTTAAGCATAGTTGTTTAATTTGTGGATCATTCTTCTTTCCATTTCTTAGGGTTTTATCTTGTAAAAGAATGTCTGAATTACTTTGTTAATACGATTAAAAAATGTTTGGCAGTAGCTAATTATGCATAATGCTGAATTTCTTACGTTTCATGCTTATTAATTACAGTATTTTTTTCTCAATACTCTATAGCAAGTCCTCTAGATAGTCACATGCAAATCCCTTGACAAGAATTCCATAAGCCCTGTTCTGATATTGATATGGTTTGATCAATTAAGTCACTACTAAGATCTAAAAGGTTCTCTAGGAATTAAGGTGGGAAAAAAGGTTTGCGCGGTTTCTGTTCTCTTCATTGTTGCTTTAGTGGTGCTTTGTCTTCCTTTTTTTCCTTCTACGTTTATGAAGTGATGATTTTGTGTTTAAATTGCTTGTATTGGTCTGTAAGAAGTTATTTCCAGTTTGAGGAATTTGTGATCAATGCTGATAAAGGTGTTGGTGATTGTGTGCATTTAGTCTTTAGTCAAACATCTTTTGCGCTGCAGAGATGCTAGCGTCGCCTGTAATATACAGACGATTCCATTAGATTTCTAATACTTAATGTTCGGAAAATTAAAACATGTTAGACCAACACATTGATTACCAAGCGTACTACTCGAATGTAGTGGGGGGNACTTGAGTCGAACCATAAGAGGGAACACGACAAAACATGTCAATAACAAGAGAAAGAAGGATTCAGATACTCACGAAATAAACGAGTGAGCACCTGTCATATGCAAAGATCATATATTAAACAATTGCATTCTTTCTCTTCCCATTAAGTTACATATTTGTGTCTCTTTCTCTGTACAGGTGAGAATATATTCGGCTGATTTTCTCCTTTAATTTGTTTCGACAAATATATCTTTCTCTAACACAAAAATGGAGGCATATGGAGGAGGCCAGTCGAGCTCTAATAATGAAGAATCAACACAAGGGTATAATTCGAAAAGAAGAGATCTGGAACTGGCTACTAAGAAACGCCTTGAGAAAAATAAAATGAAGCAAACCAAAAACAAGAAAAGAAGGGTTATTGAAGAATTAGTGGAGTGCAGTGGGAATAACAAAGAGAAAGATGAGCTGGTAGTTCGCGGGGAGCATCAATGTGTGTTAACAACATCACTAGATTACATTAACTATAATGTGTTGGATTGGGAATCTGTCATGACGAACATGGAAGTAGAAGTGAATTTCGTGCTCAAAACTATGGTGCAATTGCTAGGGGTTAATAAAGAGGTGGCTCTTCTGCAATTTGAACTACTCTTGAGGAGCTTGCATATCCGCAAAGATTACATATTGCTTGTTCTCAAGGCTTTGAAGAAGGTACAATCGAATAGTCCTTTCTTTAAGTCGCATTATAATAATGTGTTTATCAGTATGTGAAATATTACAACCTGGAAACTTTGAAAGTGAAACATTGCTCTTTTGTATGATTGTGCTGATTGGTTATAACAACACTTTGATCTTTTTCTTCTGTTGGATGACTTCAATTATCTTTATGTATATGCACTTATTGACTTAGGAGTATGTTTCTGAAGAGGAAGAATATGAAGTATTGAAGAAGATGTGGGATGAGAAGATGGAGCATGCGCGACTTATTAGCGATGAGCATTTTAATTTGATTAAGGTAACCTTCAAGTTTTGTATGTCTTAATAATACAAAGTTATAAGAGTTACTGGTTTGCTTTGTGGAACAGATGGGGGAAGAAAAAGGAAATAAGAAGCAGAAAATGGCAGAGAAAGCAGAAGATGAGGAAAACAACCAGTTGGTTCTGTGCATTGAAAAATTGCAAGATATACAAGACAAGCTCGAGAAGATTAATGAAGAAGCAAGGGATGAAGTATTGAAAATAGCACAAAAGTTCAGTCAGCTCCGCAAGCCAGTCTATGAGAAACGAAATGATATTATTAAAACTATTCCTAACTTCTGGTTGACGGCATTTTTGAGACACCCTTTTCTCGGTAATCTTGTTAGTACTGAAGAGGACCATAAAACTTTTAAGTATCTAAGTTCTATCGAAGTGGAAGACACTGAAGATTTTAAATCGGGTTATACCATCACCTTCTACTTCAGTCCAAATCCTTTTTTTGAAAATACAATGCTGTCGAAGACTTATACCTTCCTTGAAGATGGACGACCTACAAAAGTTACTGCTTCCACAGTACAATGGACAGAAGGCAATGGAGTTGCTCCCCTTGCTGAGGAAAGAAGCTTCTTTTTGTGGTTCAGTAGTGAAGTCAATCAGAAGTATGATGAAGTTGCTGCGATAATCAAGGATGAGCTATGGCCGAACCCTCTAAATTATTTCAATGAAGATGATGAAGAAAAAGATCTTCATGAGGCAGACAATGGCGGTGATGAGATAGTCAACGACAGTGAAGATGATAGCAATGAGGAGGCCGATGAAGAGGATGTTGAGGCTGCAGATGAAGAGGTAGTAAAGGACAGTGAAAATGATGGTGATGAGGAGGCTGATGAAGAGGATCTTGAGGCTGCAGGCGGAAGTGGCAATGAGGTAGTAAAGGACAGTGAAGATGACGATGAGGAGGCTGATGAAGAGGATCTTGAGGCTGCAGATGAAGCTGGTGAGGGAACGGAGAATGAAGGCTCTTATGATGACTATGATCTAGGAGGAGGATGATGAAGCCAAATTTACTCTTATACAGCAACTCCTCTTCTGAGTTCGATCTCGTCTTCAAATGTTTTCTTCAATAGGTTTGATTGACGTTTGTGATGACTGATGACGCTTTAGATGTTTGGAAAAGAACGTACAGATCAGAACATTATTGATAGCTAAATCTCCATCCTCTTTTGAACCTGCTTGTTTTATCAAGTCTGAGCTTTTGGTTCAAAAATGAATACTGTCGAACTGAAAATATTTCTCATACCTTTTTTTAAAAAAAAAAAAAAAATTGTAGCAGGTGTTGACTAAATATTTCTTCTGATATAAATACAAATGCATTAACACAAAGTTAATGCATGGTCACAGAACAAAGTTATAACACCAGATTTAAGAGAGTATGTATAAGCTGCTTTTTGAGGATATATGGCCATCAGCTAAGTAGAAAACAAACCTCTAGTTGAATATTGAGTCGGAAGGAATTTAGAGACAACAATAATGAGATTATATTCCCGTATGAAGGTGGATCATCACTAAAACGCAGCAAATGTTAGACAGAGTGAATGCCGAAATATAAATTGTAATCACAATTTGTAAATACCAATTACATGATCAGCGAGATCACCAAACTTCTCAATCAACTCGCCAATACAACCCTTAGCAGCGAATGAGACATATAAATCGCAATCATTAAATGAGACTTATAAATTTACATCCCTAAACTTGGAAAAGTATATTAACGTGGGAATTCTGCTGAATTATTTTCCCTTCGGGTGAAAGATTTGTATTTTCCTGGGTTAACAAGGATGAAGTCTGTTTTTTTTTAATTCCTTGTTATTTCTGTGCTCTTACTTTGCTGTCAAGTTTCGCATTTCTTCTTGATTTTATTTCCAGGATTCTGAATAACTCTACTCAAAAATATTAAAAAAGGAGAAATTGTAATTTGTAAGTCAATTTCATTTAACCTTTAGATCGTTAGCTACAACTTGTCGAATCCAATATGGCAGGCAATTTTAATTCTACATCCATTCCTTGTTACAAAACAAATATTCCGTAAATATGGCAGCCCGGTGCACCAAATTTAGTATTCACTCAGGGTGTGGGGAAGGACAGTCTACCCTAATGCCATCATTGTTAGCTGCTTATAGGCTCGAACTCGTGACCTATATGTGATCATACGAAGACAACTTTATGTTGCTCCAACGGTCCCCTTCAAAATAAATACTCCATAATTTTACTTTTCTTTGGGGGGGGGGGGGGTATCTCATGGCCCTGAGAGATGTCCTACCTTCAAAAGCCAAATGGAAGGGCAAGAAATTTTACACGAGTGGGAGTGTGGGACAAACTCCTCCGAGCCTCACGAAAATGTTAGTAAATGAATATCACATCCCCATTGACAATCAAACTAGTATATGAATTGCCTTCTGAGTTATCATGTCTAATTGGCCCAAGACTGATAATAAGAGTATCCCTCCAATGCAACTTCATACATCTCCTGAATAACAAAAGTGAGCAGAAAATTGTGAAATGTACCAATCATCATGACACTGCGAATTCTGAAGTTTCTTGAGCTTTAAACTAATCGAACAGTTGGATTCTATACAACATAACATATGGCTGGGCCAAAGATCAGAAACAAAACCAGAAAAACTATTGGAGTGCAAAGAAATCAGAAGCGGCTGTCAAGGTGACTTATTCAGATTTAATAGAGTTAAATGTGAATGATTTTTGAAAATCTGAAATAACTTTTAATTAGACAAAATTCAACCAACAATCAATAATTAATCCACAATAGCAATAATGCAGATCACACTGAAACAAAATGGAATTCATAACTTGCAAGGCTGGTACGACCAACTCCCAAATTGACAGATACCACTGGTAGATGATAACGAACTAAGGATGACTACAATTACTATACATAAAGGAAACATTACAGAAAGATTTAAAACAGGTCAATTACTAGTATATGAAATTTGAGGTCAATTTGCCAAGACTCTCAGCGCTTGCTGCCTTCAACTGTTCCATTGTAACATAGCAGGTGTTTCTTACCTTGGAAGTAAAACTCCACACCTTTAGAATCAAACTTAATCATCCCAAGGGTACGTATCCATTTGCCTCCTAAAACCATGTCACAATGTGTCGACAATGGAAGTAGATGCAAGTCCATACTAAACAAGGTGCCTTGCAATAACAATTGAAAGTTGTTGCATGCTCTGGAGGTAACCATAACATTCCCAAAAACTGACTTAACAGATCGCGGCTTGATTGGAAATGTATCACAACCTAACTTAGCTGCCATGGATGAATCAATAAAATTGTGTGTTGTCCCTGTACCGATTAGGATATTCAAGGGCCGATTTCCATGGTACCCAGTCACGCAGATACTTTGGTATGGCTTAGGATATTCTACTACAGCGTCAATAGATATTAGCATGGCGTCTTCTTTCTCTGAAGTTATAGGATCTATTTCGTCATCGTCAGTTGGAAGGCCAACAACATCCTTTCTCTCTTTGTTGCTACATTTTTCATCACAAAATAAACGGAGACCTTTGGCTCGCCTCTTATTATGTTCAGTGGTGGTTAGGGTTTTTCCGCGTCCCTTCATATTCTCCTCCTTTGAATAAATCATCAATAGAAAAATACAAATTCACATAATGGAGCCAAGATTTAAATTTTAGAGTTTTGTAGGTACCTGAAGCATAGATGAGTTTCCACAGCTGGCAGAGGAGGCATTCATGGCAGGTTTCTCTTGAGCGGTAGAAGATTCGATGTATTCCTTAAGCTGTTGAATTGTTTGATCAAATTTGTCTTGTCTGGCATTCAATTCTCTAAACAACGTCTCGATTAGCGCACGCATTTCCCTCATCTCCATGGCAGTAGTTGTGGTTTGCTGCTTCTGTTCTTCAGCCATTTAGAAGGAGGAATAGTATTTTGAATTCATACTTTAATTTGTAGAAAATGGATCTTTTCCTTATATTTTATTTGGCCTTTCAAATTGAGCAGCGGTGCTTCTAAAGCTGGCTAAGGTCCTAACTCTAGAGGAAGAAAACGAGTGCATGTGAGAATGGTGAATATATATTACATTTTAGAAGGGTGAGGGGTGAACGTGTGAACGTGTAGTGGTACAGGTAAAATGTGAATTACGTGCACTTTGTATGTGGGCAGGTAGTGGGACGGGACTCCTCATGGATTATTAATTTATTATAGGCCGCGGAAGTAATCCCAGTATCAAAATTACATGTAATCTAAATAACTAGTATAAACAGAATTTCACGGATTATCTCTTGAAGCGTGAACAAAGCTCCTCTATCACGTGAGCCTCTAATTCCACATCAACTTAATGAAATCACCATCATCAGCATGATCACAATTCCCCGAACGTTCCACGGTCTTCTACTGTGTTATCCAAATAATATCCGGAAAATAGCAATTTCGTGTGGGCGAAATTTTTCAAGGAAAAGGGGCTGAAATTCGGCCACCATGTGCTCCCCCCTCTAGGGTGAAAACCTTATGTATTTATATCACAAGTTTTAAGGATTAAAACCCTTTTTCCAAAACCCGTTGAGTTTTCTTTTCCACCAGAAAAAGGATTCCTTTATTTTCTATTATTTAGACACAGCAGGGACCACAAAATTTAATTAACAAGGCTTCCAATTATGGAATTAATTTATAATTTTTGAAATTAATATCCACCATAATTAATTGTGAATTATTCCACTAAAAATTCGTAATTGCACTCCTTATTCAATTTCGAAATTCATCCATTAAATCTTATTTAACTCCATATGTTAAGATTCAGATATTAATCAATTAAATTAAATTACTAACGATTTAATTTATTGATTATTTCCTTTAGAGTTTCGCTTAACTTATTTCATGTGTCGGATATAAAATCCACCGGCCGAGGTGTCACATGAAAACGTATAAGCTTTCATAAAGGTGTATCATCAATCTCTAAACCGAGGCATGGATTCCATCAACTAACTATTACTTGTCAATGTACATTATTATTATTATTATCTAATTTACCAGGCATATTCACCCACAAAAGAATATCGCCTTTTAATAAATCAAAACAATAATAATATACACAACTAATAATAATTATATCAAGATTAAGAGTATAAGTACATTTAATGGCTAGAGAGTTTATTTTATTAAGTTAGTATAAAATACTTATCTCTACCTGGTCCGTTCAATACATACAAGATGTACTAGCACAAGAAGTTGGAATTAAACCATTCCCATGATCAAGATAAATTATATTTAATTTTGTGCTACAATCATCCATGATGGTTTGTCCAATTTCATCATTAGATTGTGAACTCTAACTTAATACTTACAAGAAGCGATGATCTAATTTTTCGTGTATAAGCTAAACTCTATACACTAAATCATCTATTATATAAGTAAAGGACACATACTAATATATGATCTACTTAAAACTTTATTAAAATTGAATAAACAATTAATTCATAATAAATACTATATCTAAACCAACCCATGAGTAATAGTATATATCCCAACAATCTCTCACTTAGACTTTTGACCATGACAATTATTAGTAGAATATACTATATCCAAATGCATGGTTAATAGTATATGCCTTAACAATCTCCCACTTAGACTCATAACCATGCATCTACAACTTTCTCATGCATTCTTTTACATGACTATTAAAAGTTATTTCTGATGCAATATTTGTCTAGTAGTGCTTTATCGTAACCATCTAGTTTGGTATTAAACTCTTCAGGGATCCTGTTACTGAAACTATCCCAAGAGTGTACACCGAACTATGATTTTCTTTCGAATTCTCCCACTATGACGAAGTACTACTAATATTACCTTCATTATCTTTCGGCATTGAAATATTAGTGACTTCTTACTATAGTGTTCACTGTTCAAATATCACTCTCACTCGATAAACGTTCTCCCACTACTTAAATGCAATGGAATGTCAATTCTGACTTGTGGGTTTTGATGTTCTTGAACATTTAGTTATTTTCCTATAAAAAATAGTTTACTTCTAGGAACATGGTTTATTAAACAATCCTTATCTAGAAAATACATTTGTTTTAACAATTTCCTTATTTTCTTTAGGACAATAAAATAAAACTCCTTTCGTTTTCTTGGATATTCAATAAACATGCATCTATCTATTCTTAGTTCCAACTTACATATCCGCTTTCCTTTTCAGCACATATGCGGGACAATCCTATATCTGAACATGCCATAAACTAATCTTACATTCAGTCCACAATTCTATAGATGTCCCAGGTACTAACGTAGAAGGAACTAAATTCAGATTGTAATTTGTAGTTTCTAAAAATATTCCAAAAACAAATAAGGCAAATCTGAATAATACGTCATTAATCTATCCATGCCCAAAAGAGACTTATTTCTTATTTCTACTACACCACTCTATTATGGAGTTTACTGTGTAGTCAATTGAGATGTAATCCTTATTCTGATAAGTAACAAAAGAACTCTTTAGAGATGTGCTCGCCATTACAATCAAATTGCAGTAATTTAATATATTTCCTTGGTGCTTCTTCGTTTCAAGACTTAAAACCTTGAATTAATTAAATCATTAAGACTTACAGTGAATCAAATAAATATAATATTTTGAGTAATCATTTATGAACGTCACAAAAATATTCAAAACTATCTCTTACTAGTATGTTCATTTAACTATACAAATCATAAGGGATTCATTCTAACTTATCACTAGCTTTATTTCCTTTTGAAGGGAAACATCCTTTAGTCAAATTCTCTTCCAAACAGGATCCACAAGTTGGTAGTGACTCTACTTTCAATGAACATTAAGGTACATCCTCGACCAACTTGAAATCCTATCCAGATTAATATGACTTAGACAAAAATGCACATATAATTTTTACTCAATTTTGAAAAACACATTCTCTTATGAGGTAGACTAATATTGTTTTGTTAAGAAGAGACATTAATATACAATAACAAAGTCATGCATTCATGTACTACAAGAGATAAAATGTTTATCAAGCTCAATAACTCAAGAGTTATTCGCAAAATAAAACAAATATTCATCTCTTATTTTGCCCAGAAACCGGAAATAAATTCATTCTAACAAAAGGTACATACATTGCATCCTTTAAATTAATGTCTTATCACTAAAAGAAAATTTTAACAAGTAATATAACAAATTGCATAAAGTCATTATGGAGTTGAGATAAAAACATTAAATAGATCATAATAAGTCAAAACACTGAATAATAAAATTCAGAATGCATTCAATATTTATATTCATACATGCATCTCGAATAATAAATTTCGATGGGAAAAGAATCATTCATGCAAATTATATTATATAATGCAAGAATTATACAATCCAAAAATAAATAGAACCAACTCAGATGGAGAGTATACTATTATTTTCAGTCAATTGCATATTACCTTTTTAATACGAAAATTTTAAACACACTACACATATATGTCATGCATCTTGAATAGCAATTTCGATGGGAAAAGAACTATTCATGCAACACACATATGTAATGCAAGATTATTCACTCCAATAATTAAAATAGACCCAACTCAGATGGAGAGTATACTGTTAATTTAAATAAAGTGAACATCATTTTTAATAGCTCTAGTTCCATTGATCCAACATGTATACTCATATGGAGAGTACATACACGATATCAATTACTAGTATTTCACCTAGTGAGCTTACAATAAATTTATCCGATATGGAGAGAGACCTAAAGTCAATGTGTAAATTTATTACTCATTTGAAATTAATAGTGGAATACCATAGAAATATATTTCTATCACAACTTAATCATGATTGTTTTTCAGTTACAAAATTGATTCAACCCTTAAACTCAGATAGAGAGCTGATACAGGTTATCAATAGTTAGTAACTATATCCAGTGAGTTCATAATAAATTTATCCGATATGGAGGAAGACCTAATGTTAACGTGTAAATTTATTATCTCACTATAAATAAAAAATGGAGACCATAACGGTTAATTCCTATCACCACTTTTTCACAATCACGAACTTTTCTTTGAAGATTAAGTTTCATAATTTAAAAAATGCTCAATACCCCATTTAAACAGTCCTAAAACGCTAAAATTAATGTTTTTCACTATATAGCAGTAAGTATTGTTCACTGGGCTGTTTCTGGTAAACCTACCAAATTTCTTATCAATCGGAGATCGTTAAAATCACAATCTCCAAAAATTGCGATCAAATTTGGAAAATTACTATTTTAAGCATTTTTTAAGAATTTAAAATATGACCTACATTTTTTATCATATACCAATTCATGTTAAATCAACATGTGCTATCATGTTCCAGATGAGACATAAATAAAATGATAGAAAGAATGACTTTTCATATATAAATCATATTTTAATCCGTCAAACCTCCAAAAAACTCTTCTAAACGATCCCAAATCGTCAAAATATGATGAAATTTACTGCATAGAAGTGAGTTCTTCTTCAATGATCGTTTCCGATGATCCTACCGAATTTCAGGTCATTCGGAGATCGTGAAATTCACGATAGCCAAAATTAGACCAAATTCGAATAAATTAGTTTTGGCGTATTTAGGATTAAATCCATGTGATTTGCATTCTTTGCTATATATCATATCAAGTTAAATCATCATGTTTCATATTTAACACAAATATAGCTGACATATAAAGAATAAATCTTCATATTTATAACAAATTCAATTTAATAAACTGCTTGAAAACTCATCTAAACGATTTCAAAATACCAAAAAACTGCATGATTCACTGCATAGCAGTGAGTTTTCCTCACTAATCATTTTCGATGAACCTACTAAGTTTCAGGTCAATCGGAGTTCGTCAAATTCATAACCACCAGCCTGTAACCAAACTCGAAGAATAACCGTTTTAAGTAGTTTCATGAATTAAAATAAATATGACATTAATTTCCATTCTCCTTATAATTATACTATGAACTCAAGACATATATATTATGTTCTTCCTATTTCTAGGATACATAATAT